GTTAGCACATTAGTTTGAGATATACAGATTGCTAACGTATCCAGGTGCTGGTTCTTTAATCGAATCAGTTTCTTTGTAGTCACGTCAATTAAACCTAACCGGTGTTGCCTCTATGTAGACCTAACTCATGCTACTATTGTAACCTTTATATCAACTGCATTTCTGTAGCGTTTGTTGCTGAAATTAATCACTATTTTTGTATATTTACTGTTATCTACATCTCTATGGTAGTGGTGAATGGTTGTGACTAAACCTAATGAACACCTTGACTGATGCACATTAGTGTATTTCAGAAACTCCTTAAAAGTTGATAAGCCGGGTGTGACCTAGTGGTTAGCGTGCTTCAACTTTGAATTCGAAGACTCACTTTTTGTTTCCCATTGCTACAAACACGCGCTCAGCACTCTGGACCGTAAGTGCGATAATAAAAGGACGGTCAAACCCCACTATTCGGTCAGATAAGAGAAGTTTAAGAGTGTTCAGCCAGTGCTGTTGAATAGGCTTTCTTCTAGGTTATCAGTTCAAGACTAGAGACGGCTATTTGCAGATAGCCCTTTGTGTAGCTTTACATAAGAATTCTGAAAAAAAACAAACTTGATACGTAAACGGTAAATTTGAAACTTTTTGTTTCGTCAGTTATTGTCACTATTCTAAATGCAATTAAACTTTAGCACATTAAAATTCCATTAAACGCTAGCATCGCTCATTTTACTATTTTATAGATTATATTGTTGTAAGATGACTTAAACGGCAAGTTATGGACGTAGAAGATTTCATTATCTAATTCAAATATAACCTAATTTTATTTTGTAGGTTAATTTCTAACAGGTATATAGTTGAAAGGAAAAACATGTTAAAAATTTATGTTTCGAATAATGTATGTTTATGTTTTTTGAGAATCTGCCAACACTTGTCTTCGTTGTTTGTGTTTTTGACCATGTGTTTTGGATGAATAGCCTTGGCCACTGATTAGTGCAAATGCCCCCAGAGAGACACACACACACACCAGGATAACCTTGGAGTGGGGAAATCTGGAACTTGTTGTTTCAATTTTATTGAAGAAGAACACTTATGAGAACGTTCTACTTGTTTATAAAAGTACAGCGAGACGTTATAATGAACAGTCATCGGCGAAGATTTGATACAGTATCGAAGTGTTGATGTTAGTTCGTACTGTGTGAAATATCTTCTCAAAGGATTAATTTGTCGACGTGAGCTAATACTGAGTGAAACATGTTCCCATAAGGTTAAAGTGTTGAAGTGAGTTCGTACTGTGTGAAATATGTTCACACAGGATTGAAATGCTGATGTGAACTAGTACTGTTTGAAATATGTTCACACAGGATTAAAGTGTTGAAGTGAGTTCGTACTTGTGAAATATGTTCACACAGGATTAAAGTGTTGAAGTGAGTTCGTACTTGTGAAATATGTTCACACAGGATTAAAGTGTTGAAGTGAGTTCGTACTTGTGAAATATGTTCACACAGGATTAAAGTGTTGAAGTGAATTCGTACTTGTGAAATATGTTCACACAGGACTAGAGCGTAAAAGTGTAGATTGTTTATTTTACATCAAAAGGACGATTCTACGCTAAATAGTTGAGAACTTGATATCGATTGTCCAACAATTTAAGTTTCACTTTTGACATAAGAAAGCTAAGAATGTGAAATGCGTGAAGCGTAAAGTATCGACAACACGTACAGGAGAAGAATAGAAAAACTTCATAACTTCATTAAAATTAATATTAGTTTTGGAATGATGTTTTATCACACGTATTACCCAGAACAACCTTACGTTACCACTTTAGTCGCTCTAAGCCAAAAGAAAACGTCGCTTTTGAACAGCATTTAACAAACGATTCACATACAATAAATGAAAGTAATCTTTAATTCCATATCATATAGATATTCCCGAGTCATAATTCGTATAGTAAAAGAGTGACATATAATAATAATAGTAATATATATATATATATTTATGTTCAACTTTGTGTGCTACTGTTATTGCTTTAAAGGAACTACACACACTGCAATAGAGCTTAATAAAAGATCAAGTAGCTTAATGATTTCTTATGTCTAATCAAAAATAGAACGACCACAGATAAGGCGAAAAGCATGTTTATTTGTAGTTGAAGTGTCCATTTCATATGGAAGTATTAGAATTCACAAATTCCGTCTTTAGTAAACCGTACACACTTTTAAAATACAAATAATTTTTATCTCAGAAATGGATTTAAAATCTTAACAATTGGCTATTATGATAGAAAGCTATTGATTAAAGAAGCCTTTCTTATTAATGGATACGTATATTCTTCTAGGTATATATTTATGTTTATGATTGAATTGTGTTCATACTTCTTGTTTTTCTTTCTATTTTACGCTGAAGATAGAATATGCTTCTTCAAAAACGTCTAGTTTATCTGTAACTAAACATGCTTTTCGTCTTATCTGTGCCCGTTCTATTTTTGGTGCATTAAGATTTCCAACCCATGAATCTATAACTAAGATCTAGTATTATCAGTCTCATAGTTCTAATCCAAAGTTCAGTTTATGTAACTTCCGTTTAAGGTCAGTCATTATTCTAATTTGTTTAATATTACTGAGTTGGGCACAATTCAGTTGAGGATTAGCATGGTCTGGTAGTTAGGGCACTCGACTCGCAATTTGTGGATAACGGGTTCGAATTCCGTCACCGAACATGCTCGTCCTTTCAGCTGTGAGGTTGTTATAATGTGACGGTCATTATCACTATGCGTTGGTAAAAAATAGCTCAAGAATTGGCGGTGGGTGGTGTTGAATAGCTGCCTTCTCTCGAGTCTATCCCTTCAAAATTAGGGACGGCTATTGCAAATAACCCTCGAGTAGCATTGCGCAAAATTTTACAAGCAAACAAAAAATTCAGTTTTAGGTTGAATAATTTGATCATATTATTGATTCTTATTTCATTAAGCGTAGTTGAATATTCATCCAAGTCACGAGTTTCGAATGAAAAATATAAAGAGAAACTTCTAGAACCGGAACTGTAATATGTCATAATGCATCCACTTCTTTAGTGAAGTAAGCCCTAATTTTTCACTTATATGTATACGAGTTTCTACGTTTTCTGTCAACTACATTATTTTTTTTAATACTTTATACCCGAATTCACTTCTGATTATAATTTACTTAAAATTTAATTTCTGTCATGCACAGCACTGTATTTTGGAAATGCTGGTTACGTGTATTAATACAGAAGTGCTTTTTTTTCTAATCGTCAGTACTTTATCTAAAGGTTATTTATTTTGAGGATAAGCAAAAAATACTGAAAAAGTATGTATAGGGTAAAATCAAAATATTGCTGATATATAATAAAATATAGAACATGCTCATATTAGCCACTATACAGTTTGTCTTATGTCGCTTGAATTCTGTCTTTCCTAAAACACAGTTCATACTTCCATTTTGTAGAAGATTTAGATTTAAGGATGCGAACTGGAAAGAGAAGTTATCAAATAAAGTAGAGACGACACAATAATGAACTTTAACTCTATAAGATGAGAGGGGAGTCGCACATGTCCTCATTTCTTATCACAAGAGTTAGTAGGAATAACCATGTTGTTTGTTTGATAAAAAGGAATTAGAACTAGGCTAGTGTTACGTGTGAACGTATAGCAGAAATTGTGCATTTTATTTTAAATGCTTTTCTTCCAAAACCTCAGATCGCTCTGATAGAAGGAAAGTATCCACGTCGACCATGTATTTTAGTGATTATTAACCGTTTCTACTAATTCCCCCACCCCAACCCCAGAGAACTGCTCTTTTAGGGCCCTTGGTTGTACTGATGTGCATGTGATAAACAACACACAGTCAAGTAGCCTAATTCTAAAGGGGACAATTCTATTTTTACCGACATAATCAACACTGAAATCTTGGTTCTTCCAACCATCCCAACGGTTAGGGAAGTAAATAAAAATAAACTTAAGGTTCTACTTTTTATGTATATGCAAGGCAAAATTATAATAGTCGTAATAGTATTATCGCAACTATCAAAATCTATTAAAATTAACCAAAGGATATGTTGTCTGCCCTATCCTTGGTAGTTAAAAATGAGTGGTTTTATAGACCTTTTTACTTAAACTTTGCCCCTCACACATCAGTGGCTCAGCGGTAAGTCTGAGGGCTCACACTGCTAAAAAATCAGGTTTCGTTACTCTTGATGGGCTCAGCACAGACAGCCCATTGTGTAGCTCTGTACTTAACAAACAAACACATAAGCCTATCAGTTTGTGTTCTACCACAAAAGTCTTGATGGGCTCAGCACAGACAGCCCATTGTGTAGCTCTGTACCTAACAAACAAACACATAAACCTAGCAGTTTGTGTTCTACCACAAAAGTCTTGATGGGCTCAGCACAGACAGCCCATTGTGTAGCTCTGTACTTAACAAACAAACACATAAACCTAGCAGTTTGTGTTCTACCACAAAAGTCTTTAATCCTCTATCATGAAATCATTGTTTTGAGACATGTTTTCATCTTCGTAATCTTCACAGAATTATTATTTGTGATATACACGTATGAAACTATATACGGTGAATAAATGAAATAAAAACAAGATGTAACACATGCGCGTAAATGATGACTGCTTATGTGGAAAAACGACAAACTTACAGAAACATTCATTACGTTATTAAAAACAGTAACAACTATTCTTATACTCTGAAACAGTTTGTTTGATCTTTTGGATGCGATAAGTATTGGCCCACGCGCACGCACGCTCACGCATACACGCGAAACACGAGCATTTAACTGTTTAAAAAGATGCCGAGAGCACTATTTCAAGCTATTTGACTAACACTAGTAGTGAAACTGGTCAGTTCATGCAAAAATGTTTAATTAATTTAAGTTTGAGAGTTTTTTGTTAGTTGATACGTTAATTATAAGCAAAAACATGAAGTCCTTGGTAAAAATGTAAAAAAAAAGTTTGAGTGAATAAACCTACAAACATGGGAAAATGTACTTACCAAACACAAATATAGAGGTAATAATTAAGCGTTTTTAGAAGTTCAACTTATACACATTAAGACAGCCGAAGCTGCCAAGTGAAAGGTTTGAAGTTTCTTTAAACTTCCACTCTCAGAATTTGTAAATCATACTCATTAGTTCGCAGCTTTTCACATGGTACACAAGCACAGAGAGTCACAACCAGTCAAATGGCCAGAATCATCTACCAAACTCAACGCCGAGTACCGAGAGAGAGAGAGGGGTTGAGGTGGAAGGGGAGAGCGTAGTAGAAAGGAGGAAAAGAAGGGACAAGTGTGGAAATGAGGGGTCACGTGATCGCATCTAGCTTGTAAGTAAGACAAATAATTGGGTCCAATTAACTTCTTACTAATTCGAAGTCAAAGTCTGCGCAGCCTCTGTCGAAAGCAACGAGAAATACTCGTTCATGCGATGTTGCAGGAACGAGAGGGAAGTTTTACAATGAGCACGAGAGCAAGTCGTAAAGAAAACACATCAAGTAAGAACGCCAAATATTCTCCACGGGAACCACCACGTGCGTGCACTTGAAAGTGTTTTGATTTCTGTTGCGGAGCTTTAACCTTGACACCAAGTGCCAGAAGTGTCTGCTTCCCCATAGTGGTAATGTTCTATGAAAATTCAAGAAGCTAACAACCTCTCGAATACAAATTAAATAATTTAAATTCTTATTTCAGCAGAGTCGAGCTCTGGTTTATGAACAACATAACAATAATACATAAATTGTGTATTACAGTAGTTAGTGAGCTTGTTTTTTGTTTTACATCAAATTTGTATTAGTTAAACAAATGTATAATTCCTGACAGTTTCAAACTTTGTCTCTTTCTGTAGCTAATGTATAATAGTATATAAATAGTTTTTTGTTCTAATGACTGTCAGTCCGTTTTGCTAGTAAACATGCTAATTCGTTATTTTATAAATACTTCTTTGCAGTGAAAAAAAAATTCATTTGTTGCTGGGATTAGGATAAATAGATTTTGTTTGCTTGCTTGTTGTTAAGTACAAAGCTGTACAATGGGCTATCTAAGTTCGACTTTTACCATTATAAGCCTTCAGACTTATCGCTGAGCCACCTGGAGTCAGATAAATAGGTACGTTTGAGCGTAAAATGTTTTAAATTTATATAGAAAAACTTGTTTTGATAGCGATTTACCATTAGATAACCGATGTTCTCAAATCAGTTGTACATAATTGTTTTGTAATACTACACTACATTTTATCGAACTACTACGATGATGTTTAAACAACGATGGAATAAATTCGATGTAATTAACGGGGATTGTGTTGAGATATTTGTTTGCTCACACCTTCATCACTGTTATTATACATTTGTTTGTAGTAATTTGGTATAAGTGGCTTACAGAAAAGATTGTCCTATTTCCTTCTGAACACCTCTAGTTTTGTTTGTTTGTAGTGATTTGGTATAAGTGGCTTACAGAAAAGATTGTCCTATTTCCTTCTGAACACCTCTAGTTTTGTTTGTTTGTAGTGATTTGGTATAAGTGGCTTACAGAAAAGATTGCCCTATTTCCTTCTGAACACCTCTAGTTTTGTTTGTTTGTAGTGATTTGGTATGGATGGCTTACAGAAAAGATTGCCCTATTTCCTTCTGAACACGTGTAGTTTTGTTTGTTTGTAGTGATTTGGTATGGGTGGCTTACAGAAAAGATTGTCCTATTTCTTTCTGAACACCTCTAGTTTTGTTTGTTTGTAGTTAAGCACAAAGCTATACAATGGGCTGTCTATGCTCTAACCACCACTGGTATCGAAACCCGGTTTCTAGCGTTGTAATCCGCAGACATACCCCCGTGCCACTGGGGGCAAACACCTCTTGAAATATCAAACATTAGGTACTAAAACTTAAAACATAATCATCTGAGAAGTTTCAAATTAAACCAGTTCTTTCAGGATGAGTTAAGTCGTTTTTTTAGGAAAAGCACCAACGAGCTATATACATAAAACTTCAGTTAATAAAATGCATATTGATTTCAGAGTATTGCTCATATATTGTAATATTACCTTTAGTATAACATAGTTCATAAAGATGCACGATTGGAAAGCCTTCTTATATTTCAGTATCAGCACCAAAGATCTCACGATATTTTTTCTTTTTAATTTATGATCAATTCAAATTTTGCGGTGAATATAATGAACAGCTCAATCATTTCTTGCGTGTAATTTTAGGCTCTGCATAATATTATTTTACCACTTTATCATTTTCTTTCATGAGAAATACCATATGATATTACTGTATATTTTACTCTTATTTTAGTAATGACGTCCATCCCACCCACACTTAACGTGACTACTCGTAATTAATATTTTCCTCTTCGGTACATACTTGAAGAAGGCTAAATGTTCAGAAAAACAAACCTTTGATTTTCTGCACGTATAAGAGTAAAACTTTATCTTTTATTACAATTTGTTTTGTTTGTTTTTAATTACGCGCAAAGCTACACGAGGGCTATCTGCGCTAGCCGTCCCTAATTTAGCAGTGCAAGACTAGAGGGAAGGCAGCTAGTCATCACAACCCACCGCCAACTCTTCGGCTACTCTTTTGCCAATGAATAGTGGGATTGATCGTCACATTATAACGCCCACACGGCTGAAAGGACGAGCATGTTTGGTGTGACGGGGATTCGAACCCGCGACCCCCAGACTGAGAGTCGAGCGCCCTAACCACCTGGCCATGCCGGGTTTTTATTACAAAGTTTGTGGTTTTAACGAAGAAACGTGAATATTCGCATAAGAAAAACATACGGATTATTTACTGTTGATTACGGATTTCTGTTGTAGTATTTTCTATATTACTGTTAATTTTTAATTAATTAATTGATAGCAAATAATGATATTAACACACACTTGAAATAAAAGTGTGATGGTATGAAATAAGGTATTTTACAGAATTTGACTCCCTTGTTTTTGTCGTATGATAGCATTACAAAAATTGCTTTGGTATATATACAACATATACAGCGACCTAAGTTTTACATGTTAAATATATATTTTTTTACAGTAAAGATATAGAAAGGTGTTCTTAAATTCAGCATTAGTAAGTAGTCATCAGTGATATCCTGGTTTCTACATCTATCATATTTTTGTGTATTCTTAAGCCTTTTTTTCTGATTAATTCAATACAATTAAATTAGAATATAAGTCGATTTGTTCGTAAATTAAGTTTTTCTTGAAGTAACATAACAATAAGGTGATATATATATATATAGGTATATATATATAAAGCACAGTCTTTCTTGAAGTAACATAACAATGAGGTGAAACATTTTTCATGATATACTGAAACACATTAGACCTCTGTAGTTTCGTAAAACGTTTACTATAATATATTCATATGGCATTCTAATGGAAATTCATGAAATCAGTTTTAATTTTCTCGATCTCATTCTTTATAGGTGTGTTCCAAATTTCCTGATGGTAACTCAGGTAACTATAAGGATATAGTTGCTGGTAACTCAGGTAACTATAAAGATATAGTTGCTGGTAACTCAGGTAACTATAAAGATATAATTGCTGGTAACTCAGGTAACTATAAAGATATAGTTGATGGTAACTCAGGTAACTATAAAGATATAGTTGCTGGTAACTCAGGTAACTATAAAGATATAGTTGCTGGTAACTCAGGTAACTATAAAGATATAATTGCAGGTAACTCAGGTAACTATAAAGATATAGTTGCTATACCAATTTATTTGCATCTCCAATCATGTATGTTGCACCGCAGGACAACAGTAAGTTTACGGACTTAAAACGCTAAAATTCAGGGGTCGATTTCCCGCGCTGGATACAGCAGATAGCCCAATGTGACTTTTCTCTAAAACAAACATACAAACCGTGTATCTCGCTATTAGTACTGATATATTTATAGTAATAAAATTAGATGTAATTCATAGACACAGGAAGCAAAAGTATATTAGTAGGGTTACATTTGCAAGAGTGTGTGTGTGTGTGTGTGTATGTGTGTTTGGTGGTGGTTTTGAAGCGGAGGGATGTTTGGTGATGGTCTTAACTAATAAACCTAAGTACAGGTATGTATGAAAAGCCGGAATTCAACAGTTTTCTATGCCTATGATGCAACCTGTTCATATAATACATTTTAAAGTGACTTAAAACAGTGGATATGTTTACTATTTGCTCCGCAAAATTTGAATTTATCACAAATGATAAAATAAAAAATATCATAAGATCTTTGGTGCCAATACTGAAATATACAAAGGCTCTCCAATCATTCATCTGGAGGGCAATCGCCTCATTGTTATTAAGAACTTCTGATTAAATATAGAAATGAATATAAACCCTACAATCCGAGCGCATTCGAAAGGTCCACCTTTCGAAAGTGCTCGGGTTACAGGGTTTTTATTCATTTCTATCAAGACTTCTTGAACTTTAACAAAATTGATTGGTTATTTACTTTCAAAGCACATAAAAAACACCAGTCGTTAGCCAGTCAGATCCATACAGTTTATTAACATACGAAACATGTTTATAATTAAATTCGTTCAGACATCCATCAGCACAAACTCGTTTAATTTGCAAGATTTATGAACAAATGCACACAAGCTGCTTGTTCAGAGAAATTACATTGACGTTCTGTAACTGAATATTTAGGTTGCGTAGATATTCATAGCTTACGTCATAATGTTACATATAGTTGGAAAAATCTCTGTACAGAACAAATAATTTACTCAATTGTTCCTTAATTTTATGCATATATATTTTTAATTAATTAAAGCCCCCACGTGGCTCAGCGGTAAATCTGCGGGCTTATACCGCTAAAATACGGGTTTCCGTACTCGTAATGGGCACAACACAGATTGCCCATTGTATATTGTTTGTTTGTAATTAAGCACAAAGCCACACAATGGGCTATCTGTGCTCTGCCCACCACGGGTATCGAAACCCGGATTCTAGCGTTGGAAGTCCGCAAACATACCGCTGTGCCACTGGAGGGCCCCATTGTGTAGCTTTGCGCTTTACTACAAATAAGCAAACAAACAAAATAATTAAATTTAAGGTAGTTGGCAAGAGTAAACATTAAGAGAACCGGGAGTTTGCATATTTTTCATTATTTAAAGAGTTAGTTTAAAACAATGTAATTTTTCTTATATTTCTACCATTATTTGACGTAAGTAACTGTAAATAAAATATCAAAAATTTTTCAAAAAACAGAAAATGAAATATCTCCAGAATCTTACAGTGCTGTAACTTAGTGGCATGATTATAAACTAAACTAAAATGACTAGCAGTAAATAAATCACTTATCGCATTAAATTAGACCTAACCTCGATGGTGAAACAGTTTCGTTACATGCAGGTGAACTAATAGTGCCAATTAACCCTAAATCTGTGTCGTATGACCCAAATCACATTAATGGTTTCAGATAAATGAAGCATAAAAACATTTTCAGACGATAATCTAGATATTTACAGCAAGCCGACCTTTTCACTTTAGTCCTGTAGTACACTGAATGATAGCAGATAACTATTGTAAAACATTGTGCTTT